GGGGGGAGCAGGAGCAATATCTTGAAAGTGCATAAAACACTAATTTTATACAGAAAACAGAGCGACATCGTTGGAGTATCGAATAGTCACACGCTTGTGGCATCTCCTTGTTATGTACTGCAATGTACTGACGGACTCCTCTCTACTCAAGCCGCAGCTTACGTGCGCTGAGAATGGAGTGATGGAAGAACCGACACGTCCGCTTGGCTTGTCTCACACATGGGGGTATGCAACACTGTGTCCAAGGTAGTTCTTGTTCTTACAGTCACTCACAACCGTTGTTTGAAAGCATGGCCATTTCACAGGAAGAAGACGGGGAATCGTTTAGTCTTGAGTCACTTCGGTCCAAAAGGTCATCTCGGCTCAACCTATCACTCGTTCTAACTTCACGTCTCCTGAGAAAATTTCCTGCATCGAACCGATCATTAGCAGCACAATGGGGGGAAAGTCCTGAGTCTGCGCTGGGGAATTCCCCCCTGGTGTCCATGTTATCACAAGTGGGCTTTTTTCTCCCGCCATCATCCTCGTTGTCCGAATCGTCTGTATCGTCATCGATGTCCTGGTAGAGCTCCCCAGATGCCAGCCTCGCCTGTTGCTGCTCCAGGTGCTGTTTCCGCCACTTGATCCTTCGGTTCTGGAACCACACCTTGACCTGGGCCTCTGTCAGGTTCAAGGACGCTGCTAGGTAGTACCTGTAGGGATCACGAGAGTTGTGTAAATAGTTGAGTCAAACATGATTTGTTTGTGCCAATACTTAGTGTGTAAGTATTAAGTAGGGGATAGTTTGTGTTCTATTAAACTGATTTTGAGTTATAACAACGTTTAGGTTGAATTTTGAGCTTGGCTCTACGCCTTTTTACCTACTGAACTCTGCTTGGATTCTATACACACCCTCATCTCCTATCCCATCTCACACATTTCAACTTTCTTTTCTCTTTTTTTTCGAACCTGAGACATGCGCTATTTAATTTGATTATTCTTTCTCTCCGAAGTGTAGCTCATTCATGTCCTATTGACTTGTTGTGACGTCCTCTGCCCATTGCCCCCCCCCACTTCCCTCCAATCAAAAAGTAAAAGTATAAACAAATTAAATATTGATCTTCTCTAGGAAATGCAAATTTTCACGGGTCAATACCATAACATGTAATTAGTATTATATATGTTTGTCATAGACTGTTGATGTTTAAAAACTTGTTAACCCAATCTGTTCTATAATTTTTCTAAATTTTGATTTCAGAATTTGTTGGATCTTAGTGGTCTCAGGGTGAAATAAAAATACACAGAAAAATATAATTCTTATTATATAGATTCCATAATATGCACATGATTTCACACTGTTATGATACTCCCGAACAAGTTGTTAAATATTGATCAATCTTTGCTGATACAAGAAAAGCAATGGCGTGGAGAGAGAGAGAGAGAGAGAGAGAGAGAGAGAGAGAGAGAGAGAGA